CTTGTTGTCGGATTGAAGTTGAAAATTGGAGAAAGTTCTAAGAAATATTAAATTGTTAAAAGCTCTGTTATGTGAGCTTGCGTTGCAAAATCCCTGGCAGAATGTTTTTAGGGTCGCGCACATTCCATTTTCGTTGTTTTCAACCTTATAAGTTTGTGTACACTCTCCCCCTTGTCACCGATTCAAAAAAATAATATATGTATAAAAATATATAATTTTGGAGAACTTGAATAAAGAAAATAATTCTTGAAAAAAGTTAAAATAACGAATATTGGATGTCAAATTTTCACAACTGGTCACCTTTTGCTAGACCCCCTAGGTCGTGACGTCCATGGACAACCCTTTATTAAAATAAATACAGGGTGGTACAGTTTAAAAGTCATTAATTTTAAAAGGGAAGAGCCATACAATATAAGGTAAACTTTAATTTAAAAACATTGCTCAAACATGTTTCCTAATAGAAATACAGGCCGTCAAAAAAATCTAAGGATTGTGATGCTAACAATATAAACAAGGCATCTAGCAGATATTTAAAGTTAACATGATTGGCATTTTTTGACAGATTGTATCTTAAGCCCAAGACTACTAAGATTTTAAAATTTTATCAGTACAGTAGTTGACACGGAATTTCGAACGACATAAATTGGTTTTCCTTGAGTGATTCTTTAAATAGCAAAGATACAATAACGACCAAATTTCGCTGTCAAAATTACAAGAATGGTGATAACCGGAAGTGAGTTTAGTTGTCCATAATAGTCCGGGAGGCAGTGAAGATTTTCGGTACTTATTTTCCCAGTTTGTGAATGTCATTAAGTTTGTTCAAATGGTGACACAAAACGACAATTTGGGTGTCTGGCTGAAATTTTCGGATGGGTTCACTAGATGAGCCAAAAAGTCAAGTCCACTTATTTTCCCAGTCATAAATATTTCACATTAATTAAAGTGAGTCATTTTATTAATGGAAATAACAGTCTGGCACATCCCAAGTGAAGGAAAGTCAGTCTGGCTGAAAATTTGCGGAAGCAAAAATTTGACCGGTTTTTGAAATACGTAGCCCTTATTTTCCCATGCTTAAAATTTAACCCATTATTTGGTACTGTCATAAACTATAATCAAAATTAAGTCTGGCTGATTTATGAAATTGGCAAATTGTTCTGGCGGCATCTTGAAAATCGTAAGAATTACAAAAAATTTGCTCTTATTTTCCCGGATTTGAAAATTTGTCACATGATAAATAATACTATAATTTCGTAGAAAATACACGTCTGGCTGTTATTTACAATCACGAAAGCCCCGCCAGACTGCGAAAATAAGGGCAATGATTTTGATAATTTTTCCATCTGCCAGACATATTACCCATACTCACAGTTTAGCCAGACTATTTTTTTTTTCATAAGTTCAGTATATCTCTCACTAATGGAATTATTTTTATCACTGGAAAAAAAGTGCAATATATTTGTATAACGCAATTTCCGCCTTAACCCATCCGAAAACCCCCGCCTAAATATATATAAATTTTGCTCAGAATAACAAACCCAATAATTGTATCGGTGTTTGCCGACTGGGAAAATAAGTACCGAAAATCTTCACTGCCTCCCGGTTGGACGAGTCTGGCAAGGCTTTCAGAGTGTTCCACATTAGCCAGACTATATTTGCAGCTGTAATTATAATATAAACTATCATCTCACAAAATTTTTAGGACTGCGAAAATAAGGGCAATGGTTTTGATAATTTTTCCACCTGCCAGACATATTACCCATACTCACAGATTAGCCAGACTATTTTTTTCTTAAGTTCACTATATCTCTCACTAATGGAATTATTTTTATCACTGGAAAAAAAAGTGCAATATATTTGTACTTTATAACGCATTTTCCGCCTTAACCCATCGGAAAACACCCCCCTAAATATATATAAATTTTGCTCAGAATAACAAACCCAATAATTGTATCGGTGTTTGCAGACTGGGAAAATAAGTACCGAAAATCTTCACTGCCTCCCGGACTATAAAGACAGTTTGGATTTTGATGTCAACGGAATGATATTCGTTCGAAATTCCGTATTTGCCACTATAATATTTCGTAATTAAAGCCCCATATCAAAATTTAAAATCATCTTTTTTCTTAATCAAACATAATCTAAAATGTATTTATTTTTTTAAAATTTCCAGTGGCGTCAAAGACTAAGGTAATAATAAGTATTTGTCTTAGAAAAAGTATAGTATGCACCTCGTTTATAAACTTTTATATACACTCATTAATTTAAGAACTCGCTCGCAAGTTCGCTCGTGCCTAAATTATATTCGTGTTTAAAATGGCGTTTATCAAACTTGATACATAATATACTATTTTCTACTCCTATTACGGAATATAATCGTTCTAATATCACTTTTTAATGTGGAATGACATATATTCCTGATTATTATTAGTATTACGTAATGAATTATTCATCGGATGATGACACTGGTGTCGACATCTCTGTATTTAATATCTAACAAATTTAGACCGATCCAACCTCACTTTCTCCCAATTAAATTACTTTTCTATGATATTTTTTTGGAAACGTAGAAAAAGTATAGTCTGAAACACGTTTGGAATTGCATATTCCGCTCTCGTAAAACCGTAAAACTCGCCTTCGGCTCGTGAGACAAACTTTTCACTCGATTCCAAACTTGTTACAGAATATACACACATCATTACCAACATTACATTGTGTGCAAAATCTAATGAATAGTATATTCTGTAACAAGTTTGGAATACAGCATATTCCGCTCGAGTGAAGAGTTTGTCACACGAGCCGAAGGCGAGTTTGACGGTTTCACGAGAGCGAAATATGCAATTCCAAACGTGTTTCAGACTAGACTTTTTCTACGTTTCCAAAAAATACCATAGAAAAATAATTTAGTTGGAAGAAAGTGAGGTTGGATCGGTCTTGTTAGATATTAAAAACAGAGATGTCGCCACGAGTGTTTATTCTGTCATCAGATGATAGAATATTTCATTCTGTAACACTTTACGGAATATATGTCATTCCATAGATAAAAGTGATATTAGAATGGTCAAATTCCGTAATAGGAGTAGAAAAAATTGATTAAGTGGTTCAGAAGTTTTTTCCAAACTTTGTCGGCCTGTGTCTGTGTATGTTAGGAAACATTTTTGAGCAATATTTTATAATAATAATTAAATAAATTTAAATTTCAAAATAATGTAAGTATTCATTTCGTAATTTTAAAGTAAAGCGACGGACACGGAATTTTGAACAATATTGACCATTTTTTCTTTCAATCTCCAATTGACAAGACTAGTGATAACCGGAAGTAAGGTTAGTTGTCCATAAAGGAAGTTAATATTTTGATGTCAACGGGATGATAGTCGTTCAAAATTCCGTGTCCGCCTGTGCACACAATTTTAAAAACAAATATTTTGAAGAAATTTTGGTATATCGAAAACTAAGCTTTAACTAAAAAAGCTATTTATAAAAAAATGCTGTTATCTACCTACCCCAAAAGTTTTTAATCATTCTGTATATAAGGATTACAATTGCTGGATCCTTCATCCTGCAATCCAGCTGGATCCAGCGCATTTTTCAGCCTGCTGGTTCCAGCACTGCGGATCCGCAAATAATGAACTTTCCAAATAATGGCGCAAAAGTCAACGTTGACAGCGTTGCCGCTTTGCTAGGTGCGCTAACGCCCAAACATCCTCAGCAGGAGTTACCTTACCGTTCTGTCACGCTTGCGGCACGTGCTACACCCCTTTCTGCACTGCACTTTTCGTTCTCGCTTGATTTCATTCTAAATAAGGGTCTTTTTGGCACCGCAGGGCCTGGGTTGTTTGTTGTGAGAATTGTAAGTAATTTGACTGAATTTTAATTTATTTATAAACATTATATTACATTACAGTTGTTACATTGGGAACAAAAAATGCAAAACTTGTAATATTAATTATTATAAAAAATAATTAAGATAATTATCTAATAATCTTAACATTAATTTTGTTCAAGCTTTTAAAGTAGAAATCAGTTTAATGTTTTACATATATTTAATATATTATGGGATTTAAAAGAGAATAAATGTACTAAAAATTGAAATATACGAAATAGTGCAATATTTTCTTCATAAAAGTTTTCTAGTCCTTTAAAAAATAATATGTAGGTATTATTTATTTATTTATTTAGGTTTACATATTACTAATAGTAATTTACTATAGTATAGCTAGCTATTCAGTTTTTTAAATAATTTACCAAAAAAAAAACTATATTATACAGAGATTTTAAAAATTAACAGAACATGAAAATTGGTAGAATAAATTAAATTAATTAATTTAATAAATTGGTACCTATTTTAGTTTATTTATTAATAGGAATAGGAAAGTATCAATAAATTAAATTAATTAAAAATTAAAGCTAATCATTTTTTTAAATAATTTACCAAAAAAACTCTATATTTTACAGAGAGTTTAAAAATTAACAGAACATGTAAATTAGTAAAATTAATGTTTTAAATAAAAAAAATATTAATGAAAAAATGTTAGTAACTAACTGTTATCAATATCAATAAATTAAAATAATTAATTTAATTGTAGTCGAATTCAAATTTTATTTCATTTATTTTTTTGTTTTCTATGAATTGGTACCTAGTTTAGTTTTTTTATGAATATGAATATGAAAGTTTTTTAAAAATTTAAAAAAATCTTATTTTTTTTATTTTCTTCAAACAAATTATAAATTGCTGAATCCGCGCTGGATCCAGCTGGATTGATGTTGATCCAGCAAAAATCCAGCTGGATTAAAAACCCTCATGGATTGCAATCCCTATCTGTATATGTGACAAAAAATTGTCAATAATTATAATAATAATGATTAATTTCATTATTATTAAATACAACTTATCTGATAAGTGAAATAATTCGGAGAGCCTGTTAATGGTGCAAAACAATAAAGGCTAAGGTAAAGTGTTATTTCGATTTTGTATTTTTTCATTCTATCCTTGCTCTTTCCAGATGCCATGATGTTCACCGCAGACAACAAGGGCCACGTGTTCTGTCCGTATTGCTGTAGGAAATTCGTCAACCGCTACAACCTGAAGGTCCACGTGCGCGACAAGCACGAAGATAACTCCACAGATCTCGACTGCAGCATTTGTGGTAAGACAATGCGCAACCAGAGCTGTTTAAGGGTGCACATGTACAACCACCGTAAACAGCAGATGGAGACCGCTCTACCCTAATTTCGAATCAAAGTAATTTTCAAGAATGTTCACCAAACATCTTTTATGAGAATCGTTCGGAAAGATACCTTTAGATGGCGTATACAATGTTTTAGAAATGTGAGTTCAGTACAAAGGGCTTATAATACTGGGTCTAAATCAAGAGCTGATTTAGCAAAGTTATAGAAATTTTTGAATTCAGCATGCCAAAATTACCCTTAAAAAGTTGTTGTCTACCCCAGCAAAATATACCAGTGTAATTATGGTTCAGCCTAATAAAAGTCTTAAAAAAATTGCAATAGAGTTGGAATTTTTTTTGTGGCCAAAAACTTGATGCGAAAAAAAGGGGAGGTTAGTCGAAGGATTTTTTGCGTAATAGGGATTGTTCATATCGATTTTTTAAATTTTATCAAATACAGAAAAAAACAATTTTTGTCAAGTAGTACATTGTTTTGAAAGGATTTACTATGACGGAATCTAAAAATAAGTTAATTATACTTTAAAGGAATCTGCATCAAGTTAAGCCTATTAATAAAGTACTTAAATACAGTTCAAGCAACGCACAGAGTTAAAACATTGAAGGACCTCAGCTAAAGGTTTTTTAAATTAAAATATAAGCGACAACTCTGTTTTAGACCGATAACTTTCTGAACAAACCTTGTATTATACTTACACAAATTTCACGTAAATTTACGTAACAGGATGTTTTGTGAAATTCTCATAAAATTCCTACCATAAAACAACAAGTTTTTGTTTTAAGGGTCGGGTGAAGTTATTATTAAAGATTGTTTTAATCTTACTTGCTCATGATTTTTGTTTTTAATTTTATTTTGTTATACGTGGAATCTTGATCAAACATGGTGTTTTAGCGTTATTTTTATATTAGTTCAAGATTTGTTGTAGTCTTATTGTTTTTAATTGATTTTTTAACTTTGGGTTTTGAAGCATTTTGTTTTAATCAATTTTATTTGTATGTATGTTAATTTTTGTATTTATTCAAATTAATTGCATTCTTTATTTTTATGACCAGCATAATTATGTAGCCTGTGATTTTATAATGGAAATAACTTTTTTCAAAGAACATAAAATATGCAAATTTTCTTTCATCTGACACTAACAATGATGTTCATAATATATTTCATTATTAAAAAGCCAATCAATTTTAGCATTTACTTTTTAAACAGTTTAACAAGTTTCTTATTTAACATTTTATTCAAGTTTCTTTATAAAAATTTATTTTAAACGTGGATTTTTTCAATGACAATTTTTAGTTTACGTTTTATACAAAAAATAAATAAACAATGTGATTTGAATCTAATTCGGAAAAAATATTGAATATTTTTTATTAGATACATTTTAATACGGGGTGTCTCGAAAATGGCCTACTAACACTATAGGAATGATCATTTTAAGTATTATTTTGAAGACTTATTTGTGAGTCAAACATTTAAGCTTAAAAATCATTTGATTTTTATCATAAAATAAAATAATCCACATCCAAAAGCGATTGTTATGAACCAAGTTTTATAAAAAAATTAAAACTTCAAATCAAATTAACTGATATAATTTAAAATTTCAACTATTTTGAATGTTATTATATTTTTAGTTTTAATAACTTACACAAACATGTTCTATATTTTTGTTTATACCTCCGCTATCAGGTGTAGTGGGCCCTTTTTTAAACACCCTGTGTAAAATAAGTTTTATATTTATTTCATTGTTTTTATTTTTTCCACTGTGAAAAAGTTTCTGTGCAGTATTTAACTGTGTGATTATACTTTTCATTATTTTACTTGTTTGGTATACAACATTTTACTTAATTTTTTAACTTAAAAATCTGGTATAATAAATTAAGGAGTTTCTTTTAAACACAAATACAGGGTTATATTAATATTAATAGTCAATGAGTCAATTCTTGTGTATGTCTCTGATAATTTTTATATACAATTAGATAAATTGCACAATAATGGAAATGTGGAAATTGTTTCATATCTACAGTAAAAAGGTGTTGTTAGAATGGGTATAATTGTGGTTTTGTAATTTATTTTTAGTTTTAAATTAATTTATTAATGATAATTAAATAAAAATACAACAAATACATTTCATTTACATTCCATTTATTATCTTTTTAAACCAAATGTTTACTATTGTTATTTAGCTATTTGTTATTTGTAAATAATTGTTTTTAATTTTTTGTGTATGACATAACATAACGGTGGGGTTTATTTTTGAAAAGTTCAAATTATTTTCTTTTCCGGCCTAAAGGTGATCAAGATGTAAAGATAAAATTAATATATGTATAATTTTTAGTGAAATCGATTAACACGTGCCGCAGAACACTTGAAATTTTCAATATTTTTATTATGAAATCCATGTTTTTTAGAGCCTTTACACTCTTTTTAAAACCATAATATTTAATACAAAATTATATCATACCTACCCCAATGAGAGTTTTTTTTTTGTTTCGAATACTCAACAGGGTAGGTACGATTTTATAAATTCGGACAAATGTTTTTCGATGCTCCTTACCGTACTTGTAACTGTGCGAAGTTTTATATTTTTTATTAATTATTATGCCTGTAAGAAAAGTGTAAATGAAAGGCTGTAAAAAATACATTGGTACATGTATTTCACATTGAAAATGATAAGTGCCCTGCGGCACGTTTTAATGGTAATTAATTTTGCTAAAATTTAACACACTTTTTTTATATATCTTGATCACTTTTAAGGCCGGGTAGGGAAATAATTCGGACTTGGCAAAAATTAGACCCACCCACATATTTTTGCGTTTTGTTGCTTGTGATGTAAAAAAAATATCAAATTAGCGAAAGCAATAATTCATTGATATTATAAAAAATATTTTAGGGTTTTAAATTACTACATTCCAGATTACCTAAAAGTAATATTTTTGAAGGGAAAATTGTATTTTTAATAATCAATAAATAACTAAATAAATAAAATAAAAGTTTTAATTTCTTACACCAAATATTTTGACATTTTTAATTCCTTACACCAAATATTTTGACATTTTTAATTCTAGTACCAAAACAGATGCACTCGAACGCTCTTAAGAGTACCTAATCATGATAAAAGTCTTAAAGAAACAAAAAATAGCTCATATACAGTTCAGTTCAAAATACTCTGCGAAATTAGTGCACGTTGGTACATTTGGCGTTTTCAACTTAAAAAATATATAATCTTCCAAACATTTTTTTTTAAATAGTGATATTATTAGCTTTACTTTGTAAGAAAAATTAAAATCGCGTATGTAGCCGTTGTGGAGATATACACTTAAATGTATTTTTTTTATAAATTAATGCGCAACAATAAGGTTAACATGTGTTCTAGTGAAAATGACCACAGCAATTCGCTATTTTTATATATATATATATATATATTTATAAATATATATATACCTATATATATATACCTACATATATATATATATTGATGGTTTTCCGGGATCTGCTCCGAGTTGTCAGTTTTTGGTTCTTAAAAGAACCGTATGTCTGACGACGTTTCGGTACAATCTCATGTACCATCTTCAGGTCTTATCTGCTGGGCTGCTGTTGCTGCTCTGCTGCAAGTTCATACATATAACGCCAATGGAAATCTACATGAGATTGTACCGAAATGTCGTCAGACATACGGTTCTTTTAAGAACCATAAACCGACAACACAGAGCAGATGCCGGAAAACCATCAATACATATAACGCCCGTGAAAACCTAAAGCAGAACATTGATATCGTTAATTTGCGTGGTGTTTTGGTGGTTGTAAGAGCTGGTTTTTATGCATTTGGTAGTCTCTGTGTTTCGTCTCTTGTGCTGAGGTTTCTTGGTCCTGTGTTCGATGCTAGCCAAGACCCTTGTTTTTTCAAAGTCAATTTCATGGGAAGTTTTTCGGACGTGTTCAGCTAAGAAAGATGTTTTAAGACTGCGTTTCGATGTTCTTCAAGTCTAACGTTGATACGTCTATTGGTCTGTCCAACGTAGCTTCCGTCACAATTATTACAAGGAGTTTCGTACACCCCTTGTGCCTCTAACTCTATTTTGGTTTGGCGTTTGGAAGTATTTGACCGATCTTTCTTGTGGCAGTAAATGTTATGTTTTTTGAGAACTTTGCCTATTCTCTCGGTTGTCCCTTTCACGTAGGGAAGGAAGGCCTTCGAAGTTGGTTTGTTGTTCTCGTCCTCTGTGGTATTTAACCGGCGTCGTGGTCTAAGAGCTTTTTTGATGATGGTTTTAGAGAATCCGTTTTGCTGTAGCGTCGTTTGGAATTTCAGGTCTTCTTGTTTCTTATGGTCATTATCCGCCAGCCTTTCGCGTGACAAGTGTCTTAATGATTGACTGCAGTTGTGATGGGTGGTGGTGAGACTGGGCGTGTGCCATTATTTATCTTGATTATAAAGACATCCAGAAAAGGTAATTGGTGTTCTTTCTCGGTTTCCATTGTGAACCTAATCTTTTTGGGAATTCTGTTCCAGGAATTTCTTCAGTTTCTCTTCTCCGTGGGTCCAGATGACAAATGTGTCTTTTACGTACCGTAGCCATAACTTTGATTTTAGTGTTGCCGTTTCGATTGCTCGTACTTCTAAGCCTTCCATGAATAAGTTGGCTATTGCTGGCGATATTGGGAAATTGACTTTAAAAAAACAAGGGTCTTGGCTAGCATCGAATACAGAACCAAACGTACCATTCGTGAAGCCATTGAAATACGAAAATGTCCAAAAAACCTCAATAAAAGAGGCGATACACAGAGACTAAGCTTAATGTTACAAATTAATTTATAAAAAAATACATTTAAGTGTATATCTTCACAACGGCTACATACGCAATTTTAATTTTTCTTGCTAAGTAAAGCTAATAATATCACTATTTAAAAAAAAATGTTTGGAAGATTATATATTTTTTAAGTTGAAAACGCCAAATGTACCAACGTGAGTGTCAAGATTTACTACCTGTGCAGGTAAAATCACTGTACCTATTCCCCGAAGTCTTATTAAATCGCTCAAATAGTGCAGTGTATTAGGTAATCTTCCAACTAGGGAAAATACAGTGAAAAAAAACATGCGGACACGAAAGTAATTAAGTGAGAAGTGATAAGTGACAGCTTACCTCTTACCTGGCAGACTAACCACAGGCCAATTGCCTTACGTAAAGAACGAACGAGGCTAACCAAGAGTGGTACTAGGGACACCTTTAGAAATCGGATAGGTAAATTTAATTAATCACATGACCTAAATGCAATTTGCAACAATAAAAAGTTAATTAAAAAATAGCAACAAAAACAGTAATTTGAGAAACCTCAAGAACTTAAACGTTTAAATTTCGATATCTGTCAACCTCACGTAGATAGTGTATGTAATAAACGTTTAAATCTCCAATAACATAAACAAACCATGAACACCTTCAAGTCCATTTAATTAACATGACATAATAGTTATTTATGTATTAAGGGCATAATAAGGTTTTTATGGTCCGAGGCGCTATTTCGAGCCCGAGCGCGTCAGCGCGAGGGCTAGAAAAGCGTCGTAGGACCATAAAAACCAGTTATGCCAGCAATGCATACAAAACTTTATGCACGATTAATATATTATTATTTTTAATATATTATTGTTTTTAAAGACGTTTACGTCAAAGAATTTTTGTTATAATTGTCATATTATAATGTCAACTGACATCAGTCAGTTTTAAAGTTTAAAGATAAATGAAATTGAGGAAGCAGCTGAAAAGGCGAAAAATTGCGGCCTGCTGCAGGTAAAATCAAAATCTTTATACGAAAAAACTTACTTCGAATATATCAAATGGTGTAACATTGTTGTTTTAAATTTTTGACGTTTCATTATAGCCCGCTGGGCCATAATAACGCCCGCGGGCTATAAAAAGACGTTTACGTTAAAGAATTTTTGTTATAATTGTCATATTATAATGTCATCGTGCATAAATAATATTACCTAAACCGACAAAAGGTATCAAATCCAACAAATCAACAATACGCAATGGAAACAGTTTACATGACAGAATATACAGTAACAGTAGAAAAAATGCCTCCCACTGGTAATTATTAACTACCCAGGCAGCGATATGACGTCTTAATTAAGTCTGCATAAGCTCTATTTTATGATTTGGGCGTCAGATACAACATCAGAAAGAAGTTCCACCTATCGAACTAATCAAGACTTCTCAAAAAAGGACTCTTGAGGAACCCTTTCTTTGACTTCGCAATTAAGCATTTTAAAGAGTCTTACTGTATAAACTTATAAAAATACTTCATTTATGAAATATAATTCCCTGTTTTAGTCCGGTCAAAATGGACATTTCAAATAAAAAAAAATCCGACAGAGCTAAATTTTGGTAGAGACCTTGGGTACACCAGTAGAAATAAAGTGCCAAAAATCCCCATTGATCCCATGTGTGCTAAAAAAGTTACTCAAGGTCAAAGAAAAAATTTTCGGTTTTTTTTTATTTTTCTCGAAAACGGTAAGTTTTATAAAAAATATATTCTATAAAAAAATTGTAGATCATAAAATTGTCTACAAAAATTTTCCTTATACTTTTTTTCCTAAGCATCACCATTCCTATGATATCGCCATTCTAAAAGTTGAAGTAGTTACATTCAGCATGATATCCACAGTGTGCATATACGTGGTATTTGTGTGCATTGCACACAAATGCCACGTATATACGATCGTACATAGTCAGGCACTTAATATAATTAAAAATGCCTATGCCTACTATTACAGTTTGTACCCAATAATATTGTTTTTTAATGTCACAATTGTGCTTTATTTGCAATAAACTTTTGACGGAAGGTGAAGCTGTTACAGTTAGTCGTGGAATGAAAACTTTGATCGATGCAAGTACCGAAAGAGGTGATGAGTTTGTTGATTATCTGAGAAGTGAAAAGTCTGTAACAATTCACGTGGATTGCCGAAAATCATACACCCGGAAAAATTTATTTGCTGCTATCAAAAGACAACATAAGGATGGACAAGCTAGTACATCAAAAGTAAGTCCACTTCGTACTAGAGCACGAGAAAGTGAATCCGACTTTTATTTTAAAAAATGTTGCGCCGGCGATGAAGCGGATGAAGAGGCTAAAAAAAATCGCTACATCATCGACAAAAAATGTATAACGTTGCTACACTTTCATTTAAAGAATACGTTTTGACAGTAGCTCAGGATCGTTCTGATTACGTATCAAAAGCTGTCACTGAACGCATTAATTTTGAGTATGATTTAGTTGCTGCTGAGTATTTGAAGAAATTGAATCTTCTCCTCAAACGATAATTACAAAAGGAATTCGCTTTCTCCTTGCTGTTTATGGAGCTCCAAAGAAAATTGATTGTATAGACAAGTATAGATATTTAACTTTTGTAAAAAAAAATACACGGAACAAGAAACAAGTACAACTATAGTTGTATAGATATATCTTGTCTTCCTCCAACATCGGCTTCCACACACTTGTATCGAGCATTTTATCAGGTTCAGACATGGCTAGGCAATCAAATAAACCCCGAAGACTGGGGTTGGAAATTAACAGACAATATTTTGGAATCGATTCAAACTATCCTCCCACCTGCACCGGAAAAACTCTATTTTTTGCGATTGTAAAAAGGTTTGTAGTGCTAAATGTGGCTGTAGAAGAGTAGGGTTGTCGTGTTCACCAGCGTGTACTAATTCAATTAAATTGCCAAGGCCAGTCTCAGTCAATCATATAGACGAAGATTCGTTTGATATCGATGAAGAGACTGCTGATTCATCTTCAGTTGAACAATTTATGGACATCCAGCAAGAAGAATAGGAAAAAGAAGAAGAAATCGAAAAAGACATGACTGTTGAAGTGGAATTTGAAGAGTATGAATCAGATTAAAATATTAACGTAAAATATAACTACAGTGTAAAATAATCACCTATATCAATATCACTAATCATCATGCAGTAAATACAGTATGTTCCCATAAAACTCGTGGAATAGGTCTACTGGGGAAACCACGTTAAAAAAAAGCGCCAAGTACACTACCTCATAGGTGGCGTGGAAATGTGTGCATATCATGTAGAATGTAACTCCTCGAACTTTTAGAATGGCGATATCTTAGGAATGGTTCTTAAGAAAAAAAGTATGGAAAAAGTTTTTGTAGATAATTTTATGATCTACAATTTTTGTTTGGGCTATATTTTTTATAAAAAAAAGAAAATTTTAACTTTGACCTTGAGTAACTTTTTTAGCACACATGGGATCAATGGGGACTTTTGGCATTTTATTTCTACTGGTGTACCCAAGGTCTCTACCTAAATTTAGCTCTGTCGGAATTTTTGTTATTTAAACACTATTTTTATGTCTAATTTGACCGGACTATTTTGGATATAGAACTACTACTAGGGTACTGATGAAAAAATTACATACTGGATCGTTGCTTATGTCTAGTTTAATTAGCATATAGAATAAAGAATTTGTTAAATTAATTTTATTAAAATCATTTTAATAATTTGCTCGTATTCGCTTATTTTTGGAATTGTCTCACTTTTAGACCTCTTCAGTATCGGGTAGCCGTTTACCTAGATCTAAGACCGTTTGGTATGGAGCACGCTCTAAATTCTACTTCGCCGCTTCTTAAATCAAACACAAGCAGTTACAGCGGTGAAAAAGAAAGTAATCGAATTAAAATGTCATAAATGTGACCGTCTTAAAGAGTTAATAATACGAATTCAGCAAAAAGTAAGAAAAGGGAATACTGTAAGGTGATGATACTCTTAGTAACTCCTTATTTTGATTTCAATAAGAGGTCAGAAAAAAAGATACTAAAAAAATGTTAAAAAACTGACTTCTCATTTATGAATTCATCAAGAGCTCTTAATCTTGAGCTCCTAAAAATGATTTCTCTAAGATGTCAAATTGTGACCTCGGTAAGATGTTTTTAACAGACTTCGTACAGAAATCTTTCTAAATTGGATGCTGTCTGGGTAGTGAAATTGTTAGTGCAACAGCTGTTTCACTAATACTGAAACAAAGCGCAAAATTTGTGGGCAAAAGGCATAAGGGGATGAGTTAAAAGAAGCATTTTTTCGGTAGAGACTTAAACGTATTCGCATTAATTCAGGAAATATGTTTATGGTCAGCGGGTATACGCTTCTGTTAGCATATGACATGTGCTGGCAAAAGCTATACCTGCTAACCATAAATATATTTCCTAAATTAATGCGAATACGTTAAAGGCTCTACTGAAAAATTTCTTCTTTTCCACCTTATGTCTTTTACCCACAGAAATAGAAACAGCCGAAACTAGACAAGACTTAATAATCACATACGAACAGAACAAATACGTTAAAGGCTCTACTAAAAAATTTCTTGTTTTCCTCCTTATGTCTTTTACCCACAGAAATAGAAACAGCCGAAACTAGACAAGACTTAATAATCACATACGAACAGAGTAATTTAAGACCACGATCTCTTAAGGGGTGAAAATACATATCTATCAAACAAGTATAATGCTCTGCAGTTGCGGGATACGCAGAAGAATTGAAAGGGGGTAAAATTCTGGTGAGATCGGTGTTCCTTATACTCATACTCATAATGGAATTTTTTTAATTCTTATTAAAAAAATGTTTTTTTAAATTGAGATAAATACACTCACCGGTTTGATGAGCTGTGGTAATAATTTGTATTTCGATTTTAATTTGATCATAAAAAGGGTGCAAAAGTACCACTCACAAATGTTTGAATAATGTTTTTACTATTAAGTAGTATACATTTTACTAAGTGAATTTATGCTTCAACAAGTCATTTATAAGAAACCAATAAAATAATATCATTTTCATTAAATTTTAATCAATAAAAAAGTGGTTTCCTTATCAACCAACACAGGATATGAATAGTGTTTGCTTAACAGTACTTTGGTTATTAAGCAAAAATGTGGTTCAGTTTGGGCAGGACTGAAAATTTACCGAGTCAATATGATCCACAATATATACCTGTATTTGCATATATTTTAGAAAAAGAAATTATAATAGCATTTGTTATATTATTGGCATCCTTCGTTTTTTGTTTTGCATCTTCTGGCTTAGAACGAGTAAGTATCGTAAGTTTAAAAAATATTAATTCTTTTTAACCTTTTTTAGATATATTATAGAATAACCCATGTATTCATTGCATTACTTATAGGTACATTTATATTAGGTAAGCAAAATGTGCCATTTACTTAAAATATTTAAATGAACTTTTAGTTGAAAATTTTGGACAGGAATGGGAAATAGGCAGTGTTGTATCTAAGACACCCTATAAGGCAGGAAGTTCATGTGAAATTTTAGCAAATATTGAAGTGAACCTTGGACTAAGGAGTGTTAACATTACATTACGAACAGATGATAACTCCAATTGTAAAATCAAAGAAATAATAAATTATAATGAAAGATTTGAGTGGACTTGGGATCAAGGACGACTAGGATTTGGACCTTATGGTAAGTATAATAATTAAACTGCCCTATTTAATCAATCAATCGGTTTTTTTTAAATATTAGGCAACTTAACAAAATTCCTTTTAACATTTCAAAATTTAACAATAAAATCCGCATATGACCATTGTACTGCATTTTTTAATTTGAAATTAGGTATAAATATATAACAAATATTAATTACTAAAATTTTAAATTAAAAACATTGTATTAGCTAGTTGATTTATAAATTTGGGTGTATTTAATGATTACACATTCCCACAACAAAGTCGACGGATCATAAAATGTCCTCTAAAAGATGTCTAATAAATAAATTGATGGAGAGATACGTCTAAAAGATATGCTTAAGATCTCTGTAAGATATCTAAAACACATTTTATTCGCCGTTTTTTGGCCCTCTATAAGAAATATCTGAAATACCCAAATACAACTGCATCCAGAAGATATCAGAAAGATATATATTGTAGATAGGACTTTTTGACTTAGCAACAGTATTGTGGGATATTTGTACTTGATTAGCTAACCATTATTCGTTATTACTATTAGACGCGCACATCCATCTAAATATTTGCACCTTAAGGTGCAAATATTTAGATGGATGTAATTACCATTACACAGTTTAACACGATTTTCCTCCCATGAAAAATTTTAACAGATTTTTAAAATAAAGGTTAAAAAAACGTACCCGTGTCTCACCGTTTCACGAAATCACTTCATTTAAATTTTTTACACGCCCATTCTTATTATTTTGTGGCCGTTCATTAATTACGTGAGACAATTTTGGCGATTTCCCCTTGGTGAGATGTCGTGAGATTTTGCTCGACCCCCTCCCCCCCTTAATCTCGCGTGAGATTTTTTAAAATGCATGGTTTTAATGTAAATAAGTTAATCTGTGCTTGATTCCATTAGATTTATTAAAAAAAACAATTTGCTTATAATTGTTTACTTAATTTAACCCAGTTTTCTCGCAATTTTACACTCTTTCTTTCGGAAAAAAAATTACGTGATATTTGCCGAGACCCCCCCTCCACCCACGTGAGATTTGGTGAGGTTTGGCTCGACCCCACCCCCCTAAACACCTCTCGTAATTAATGAACGGCCCCTTTAACCTAAACAGATTTTTAATTAAAATTAATTCTCTATTTTGTTATAAATAATTTTTTTTCTTCAAATATTTTATGTTTTAACATAAAACAAAAATTATACTTAAAAAATAACAATTTTAATTTAAAAAAAACTATTTCTGGTTTTAATTTTTGATTTTTTTAAATAAAACAAGAGATTTGTATTTATCTTATATTAAATATATGTTGGAAGCAAATCTTGATGTTTTAGTTTGACGATTGCTTTAAAATCTATAGTGGTATCACAACCTAAAACCACCACTTGATATACAGGGTGTTTCACATTCTTGGTCCATTGGAAGTTTCTGGGGAACTGAAAAAAATATCGATTTGAAATTTAAAAGCGTTAATAATCCATTTAAGTATATTTTTTTTAATATTTTGAATAAAATGCCACTTCCGGTTTGACCGGAACTTTGTTATTTCAAATAGAACACCCCATATATTTTTACATTTTTATATTCTACATAAAATTCTGAGTCAAATCGAAAGTGGCATTATGTTTAAAATATTTTAGAAAAATAGGCTTAATTAAATAATAAACGCTTTTAAAATTTCAAATCGATATCTTTTGCCGTTCCTCATAAACTTTTAATAGACCACGAACGTAAAACACCCGTATTTCGTAAATGTGCAACACCCTGTATATAATAAAAATAATTTTAAATTAAATAAATAATTTTAATGGTTGTCCATTTGTTCGGTGAATAAATACATTTTTCTTAAAAATATACAGTCTTGCTGTTATCGAAGCTGTTATGTTATGTGCCGAATACCGTGGATCACATTTTATTTAATCGCACTTAAAAAAATAAATCACGTGATCTAAAAAAACGCCGAGACATGGGTATCATTTTTTTAAGTCTATTTTATAGGAATTTTTCATGGGAGAGAAAAAATCAAATTTTGTCGTACTGTGTTATTTATAGTTGGCCAGCGTGCTTAAGCAGCGTTGAAAGTTAACGCTACTATATTGGTTTATAACTATGTTATTTAATTAAATATTTAGGATTTGATGTAGCAATTATGTTTAATATTAAGTAAATAACATTAAAAAAATTTAATGAATTAATATTTAAGAAATGTTTAAGACATCCTATGAGAGAGATAGAAATAAATAAATCCAATATGGCGGCCGCCCTAAGATGGCGGATTGCCTATTTCTTCACAAGCTCCTTGACATGGGTATGAAATGAAAGGGTTTGACGAGTTGAATATTTTATATATGTATATTAGAGCATACAATACATGGATCTTCATTAAGACATTGTCATGCCGTTTTTTCAATTATTTTAAATGCTGATATTTTTATTATTATTTAGCTGGCAGACTTCAGCAGCAGTTTAGAGATGCACAGCACCGTGGATTACCTTTGCCTATACTGTGGATAGCAGATTATTTTATTATTGACGGGGAAGGGTTTCGTTTTGGCCGTTTTTATCGAACAGCTGGATGGTATGCACACATTCTACTGTGGGCGGCATTTGCCACTTGGATATTAACAATCATTCTAAATCAATGTGTCATTGTTTATGGGGGATATTTTCTTTTCGTCACTGGTTGCTTACAGTTGTGCGCTGTTGCAGTCTGGTCGATGGTAAGAAATCCTATACCGTTGGTGATAATTTTTGAAGATGGAAATATTACCACTAGGTATGGGCCGAGCTACTGGTTTGCCATGGCAAATGGTAAGTCTATTTATTTATTATCTCTATAATTTTTTAGTTAAATCACCTTAATTTACTGGAATAGTCCGGAATATAAAAGAGTATGTATACCTATAGTACCTACTGTTTATAGGTACTGTTATATCACTTAGGCCACATGGCACAAATGTGTCGTTTAACATATTGCTTAATATCATTTTTAAAATTAATAAAGGTATAGTAGAAGGGGATAATTTACGAACTCAATGAATGAAGCCGTCGGTATGTCGTGGCACCACGTTAACAATAATAATAAGATTTGTATACAAAGTCGACGTGACAAAAGTACTGTTGGTCAATGAAGTCAGGGTTACCAGGTGTTACAAACAGTGTTGCCAATAAATGTTGGCTAAATTACCCTGCAACTCATCAGAATAACACCGCATTACACCGGAAATAACTTACTTTAAACACGGGCAAATCGGTAACCATATATAACACCAGTGGCAAGAAGCCTTAAGGCTTAGACTACGCTGCTTAATTATTAAAACGGAAACTTCGGTAACACTTATCGTAAAAGCTACACCAATATGTAGGTAATCTCATTTGGAATATGGTGGCTACCTATGTAGGTACCATATACTTATACAAACACACTACCTAAATATTTTATCAATTATTTTATGCTAATGCTTATGCCAATTCAGAACAGCTTAAAATTTGCTGCGCACATTCTCAAAAAAATAGGGAATTTTTCCGGTTAGTTAAATAATTTATAAATATTCCTGGATTATTGAATCTTCTTGGAACATTTATGAGAGATATTGTTAGAATATCTGACGAATTCCCATTGGACGTTTCTAAGAATATTTCAAACTCGTGTAAATAATCTGAGAATCTTTAAAGCATGTTTCAATGTTCAAAAGAGTTTATGTTCTAGGATATTCTTTTTTTATGATTATAACCAGGGTTGTTATTTTTAAAACAAATTCTTTTATATTATTTAACATTTGGTTTAAACAAGTTTAAAACAACTAAGTGTTTTAAACTATTTTTTTTAAACATGTTTTTAACTGTATTAAAAAGTAGAGTAGTAACGCTATCTACCTATCCAGCTAATAGTCAAAGCCTATAAGGTTTGGTCCTTCCGCGGGACCTACTGTTTAACGTGGAATCCGAACCACGGTCCTCGATAAATCACCCCTGCAACCACTGTTTAACATGGTACAGATGGACTCATATACCGACTTTAAACACGCACAACACCCAAGGCTGCAGCACATGTGACCGGGGATCGGACCCGGTACCGACGGACGCAGTTTGTCTCGGCTTTGTAGCTTAACCCACTGAACAATTTAAGTTAAAATAAATAAAATATTACACATTTGTTTTCAGGCATGTTTTAGACTGTTTTTTACTAATTTAATTTAAAAAATAATAAACAATTAAACACATTTTAGTTTCTATTATAAAACTGTCACAAACATTAGTAAGTAAACATGATATTTTAAAGTCTGCATGAAACATAAATAAACTCACATTGTGCAAAATGTTGTGTTTGCAACCATGGTATAAATTGTATTTAAAGAAGAAAAACAGTAGGTACACTACAGATCGGAGGTCCTGTCTTCACCCCTTCCAATCAGAAAAACAAAATATTGAATGCTTTATTTGTATTTCCGTGTTTTTTCTTCAAATAAAATTATTTGGGGCGCCGTGAAAATAAATCAAACCTGTAAGTGAATAAGTTGGGGAACCCCTGCTATAGATTATAATTATAATATCACCAAGGTTTGTTAATTTGGACATTCTGCTAAATTGGTATGTTTTATGAAATTAACGTTAAGGACATGCGCAATACTAAAATAGAGACGTAACGCGTAGGCAATTAATAATCTGCTTTAATCAGGAACTTACAAAGGAAGCGCGATGCTTATATGGGCACATACTTCCACACATATACAAATCATTTCTAACTGATACTGTTTTCTTTTCGTGGGGTTAAAGTAGGGGAAGTGAGAATCACACGGGTGATTGCATTGAGGAGCATGCGTGGCGGCATTGCCGGCCGCCTTCGACGCCTTAATTCCCCCATAAATACGAACCACGCCAGTACAAGGTCATTAATTTTATAAGGGCATATTACACTAAATTAAAAATATGTAAAAAACTGAGATAGTTTGACAAAAAATTGTTTACAAAATATAATTCATATTTACTACCGTAAAAACACAATTTTTGAAAAGTACGGAAAACTTACTACAAGAAGCAACTGCATTGTTTTTTAGCGAATTAAAAACTATCAGACATAAAATTTAATATAAATAGTCATTCGAAAAAACGAGCGCAATTTTGAGCCCCTGTATCTCCACAAGTTGTGGACCACAACCCGTGCTAATTTTCGCCCCCCCCCCTTTGACATGGTTAATGTACCCTATTTGTACCACAACCCCACCAAGTTTCATCTAAATCGGACACATAGGATTTTTAGGCGGGTACACTTAATGTATTTTGACCCATATACAGTGCTTGCAAATCCAAGTCCGACCGGTTTGGGAAGGACGCGTGAAAATAACAAGGATAGAACGCCAAACAGAACGCGCTTACAATACGCACGCCTGACGCTCTGACCAATCAAATTTTGTTTGGCATTCTATCCTTATTCTTTTCACGCGGGTATTGAACGACCATCCTTCCCAACGCGGTCGGACTTGGATTTGCAAGCACTGTATGAAATATAAAAGAAAGTACCTATGGGTTTTTATTTTCTTATATCTTAAAATAGAGCCGGTTGCGATCATTGCCACCCAAATTTTAAAACTTACCTTCTGTTTTCGGTCGTAGCTTGAATCCATTTACTAACACAAAAACAGTATAGCAAAAATTTAGTAGAATAAATTATAATTCTCTATTTGTCTAAGGGCCGGTTCTATATCGATTGTTGTGAGAACAATGGTATCCATGGAGATTATATTTCAGATAACTAACTGCAATTTTAACTGGACATTGATAAACCGGCCCTAAGACGGTTTAAAAATACGGCCGCTCGAGCTCTCAAACAAAACGTGCACTATATTACCCCCCTCTACCCTACCATAAAGTTCGCCTACTCCACTAAAACATTTTATTTCTTCTAGGCATATTTTGTATAGCATTATCTTTTATAATAATTGTAATGTACCACTTCTTTGAAACAACACTTTACAACTTTTTTGGCCAGGACCCACATGGAACTTACATATATTTAAGTAAGTTACTTTTAGTTTTTTTAACTGACTCAATTTGATATAATATGTTTTATTTAGCTAATGAAGAATTTTTAAGACCCAAAAATAGAAACCCTCAAGCTTGTACTGATTTAGAGATGAGGCCCATTACTCCAGGAACCAGTACTATGGAAAATGAAGAGGAATATCAACTTGTGTATTACAAGAAAAGATCAACAATATTTAAACCTCCATCTGTAAATAGATCAAACAAACCTAATTTGAAATACTAGAAAAAAATGTTTTAAACAGGATTTTATTAATAAATTATAGTAATAAGAATTTTTATAATATTTGTAGAACCCAACTTAGCTCTGCTTGTTTTTGTAATTCTCTAGTATATTTAAAAGCTGTCTTGGGTCAATGCATTTTGAGTAGCTCTAGTTCTTGATTCCATGTAGTAAAGAAATTTCAATAGCTTAACAGGATTTCTCTTGGGATTTATTTTCTTGAATTGGGCAGAAATGTTATTTTTACTTTTACTTTTAGTATGCAAATAAAATATCTCTTGAAATTATTATTCTTTTCAAAATGCTGCGTGGATTTTGAGTGTCGTCATATGCGATATAACATCTATATATAAACAATTGTTATATAATACCGTGGTTATATCTCATATGATAAAATTGGATATTATAATATAATATCCAAGTTTTATATATTATAATATATAAAAATTATTGGTAATTGCATAAAGGCCTGGAAAGCAGGGTTAACCAGCTTAGCATTTGGAGTTTAGGCAAAAATTAAATTTAAAATTCCACCTAATTCCATGCGCAATAAAGTGCTTTTTTATATTTTAATTAATTTCCGAGATAAAAAATCTAAAAAGAAAATTTGAAATAAAAAAAATATTTTTTAAAAACTTTACTCGCGATAACCTCAGTAAATTAACTAGCGAATGTTATAAAATTTTAACTTCCTTTGGCTTTAATGGTGCTATATAAAAAAAAAGATATATAATATTATCACGGTCACTAACCATACTCTCATAACTTTCGCGTAAAAAGTGATCGATAATACATATTTTTTGAATTTTTGTACATAGGCTTCTCTGGTTAAAACTTTACATAGAGAACGGTCAAACCGATAGATTTTTGTATCGGAATATATTGTGTTTCTATAGGGTGTATCAGTATGAATAGAATAAATACACATAAATGTAGAAGTTACTTTTTCTCCCATAGGACCCCATGGGTTTTAACAAAATGTTGTCAAATGTTTTATGGTTGCTCTATAGGGGTATCCTTGAGTTATTTGCTATCAGTCTCAATAGGGGAAATGTAGAAGTTAAGTTTATTTGCGTTTAGTCCTCAAGAGCAGCAAGGAATGTTATTTTTAAAAAACTATTTATTAAAAATTTTAAATAAGTTTTTTAGGTAGGTACTACCTAAATTTAATTTTAAATACCAAACAAATCGATTACCTATGTAATCAAAGTTCGGTACTCGGGAAGGAGGCTACGCGCATGGCTATATGATACGAAGCATCGTAGCATTTGTTGTTCTTTTTCTATGGTTGTTGTGTTTTTTACAGATTATAAAGGTTTTTGTGACAAAATTTTTGACTTTACTTTATTTTTATAGGTAAGTTTATAGATAATAACATTATTTTTTTATTATTTTATTATTTATTATTATTTATTTATATGTAATAACACTGTTTTTTTATTTTTTTGTTTTATAAAATGTATGTTTATTATATCCTATGGTTTATATTCTAAAATGTTTGCTTACGTAAAACTTGTGGACAACGGCCTATAGTTGTTATAACCTACACAGTGAATTTAAAGTAATTATTGCATGTTTTTGTAATTTTTTCTATGGATTATTTTTATTTATAAATAAAAATAATCCATAAAAAAAATTACAAAAACATGCAATAATTACTTTAAATTCACCTATAGGTTCATCAGTGCACGCAAAAATAAAAAATATACCATGGGAAGTATTTTTAGCCATATGGCAATGGCAGTGTATGGAAGGATAACATTGATGCAGTCATCTGTGACTGGCGAAGTGTGTAATAGCTATTACTACTAGACTAGTCTATTACTAATAGAACAAAGGGAATCATGGTGTTACCACCGGTATACTTATATAAATCATAAAGGGCTGTATCGGGGTTTATAGGAATTCTACATCTTTATTTGGTATTTCCATATATAAGTCTATAGGGCTGCACAGGAGTTTTTTGGTCATGTTATTTTTATCCGAAAATCCCTATAAAAAGTGCAAATTTGTTTTGGGAGAAAGATGCCCTGCCCTAGATGAACCTAAATAAAAATAAACCTTGGAAAATTAAAAAAAACATGCACTAAATAGGTACTTTACATGTGTACGTTAGGCCGTCGTTCACAAATTTTACGTTTTACATTTTATAAAACAAGAAAAAAAACACAAAGCTATAGCTATATATAGCTATATAAAGCTTAGGTATACCTATAGGTATACCTACCAGTTGGGAAAACTGTTTTGTGGTTACAATACAGTACTGTATTGTAACTTACAATTTGTATACTTATAAGTTACAATACAATTTGTAACCATCCCTCCCTTTTAAATGGAACCACTACGGACTTGGCTTTTCAATGTCGTCGTTTATTAAATATGTACTGGTAGTTTATAACTTCCAGAATAACAATATAATGTTTAATTAGGCAGGTAAATTTATAAATCCTTTAAATTTTACAATAGACTCACAAAATCTCATAAAAGTATTGCCTTCACTGCACCTAAATACTTTAATAAACTTCCTGTTGCTGTTAGAAACCTAGATTCAGAACTATTTTTAACTAGAATTAAGATGTTCCTTAATGATAAGGCTTTCTATGACTGTGATGAGTTTTTAAACTGTGATATACCAACCAGTGGCGTGGCTAGCCTCGAGGGGGCCCCGTATCAAAAATCTGGTAGGGGCCCTTATACGGGAAAAATTTCTGGTTGTCACGCTCAAAGTCTATTTTGGACAAACCAAAAATTTTTAGGGTATCATTTTTTGCATTTACCAATTTTTTCAAAATTTAATAAATGATATATGTATACATAGCTTTTTATGTGCAAGCAAATTTTAAAATTTGGTCTGGTTTTAGACATTTACCGTTATTCAATATTTGTTTCTATTTTAAAATAAAGGCAAAATAGAAACAAATATTGAATAACGGTAAATGTCTAAAACCAGACCAAATTTTAAAATTTGCTTGCACATAAAAAGCTATGTATACATATATCATTTATTAAATTTTGAAAAAATTGGTAAGTCATTTGAAATAATTGTAACGCTAATAATAATTTCTAATTTGCTATTAATATATATAACCTATGATAATAACAGGCAATGCGGCGCAGAGCACATAACAATATGCGCAGACTGCTCCGCAGACACCGCATAGCGGAAAGGTGCGGGCAGAAACAATTAGGAACAGGAGGGTATTCAGGAAAATTTTAATTTAATAAATCGAAGTATAAACAATTAAATAATAGTATTATTTATTTATTTGTTTATTGAATTTTATGCCTCTATTTTTTAACATGTGGGTAATGTGTTTTTTGCTTACGCATGTCGAAGCCAATCGGGGGCCCCCCCTGGCCGGGGGCCCCGTATTATTGATACGGCTGATACCGCGGTAGCTACGCCCCTGATACCAACCCTGTGATAAATGTTCTTTTATACATCTTTTGTACACATAAATATTGTCATGTATGTTTTTCATTTTTTATATATTATTTATGTCATGTAAAGTTCTTTTTCTATCTGACTTGTGTAATACAACTTTTTTTAAATAACACCAATAAATAATTTGATTTGATTTGACTGTTGAACTTATGAATTTAGTTTTTGTAAAATAAATGCGCTTCATCAATATTTAAGTATAAACAAATTATTAATTTAATAATGTTTATAAATAAAAAAATCTTAATATTTATAATTAATTTTGTATTTAATTAATACAAAATTAAGGTTTGCGAAAGGGAATGGAATAAAACCAAAAGCAAATGAAAGTTAATACTGCCCACAAGAAAACCCTATCATGGTAAATTATTTATTTAATAATGTTTATAAATAAAAAAATCTTAATATTTATTATTAATTTTTTTATTTAATTATTAATACCGTATACGGTATATATATATATATATATATATACATCCCACTACACTTATGGCGTCCTTTCATGGACGTCACTTATGGCTTCCCCCTTAAGGAAGCATATATATTCATTTTTGATTAAAGTATATTAGCTAACCCATTCTCCTTGTGCCTCCACTCGTTTAAAATTTTAGTTATTTTTTTAAAAATTTACGGCTTTGTGACCTCCTTTTATAATGCAGACATATGAGCCCCACGAAATATATGATTTTGTACATTTCACAATATATATGACCTCCGGCAATGTTGCCATATTTCATAATATAAAAAACTATTATATTTTTATAAAACTTAGGATATAACTTGAAATATTATAAATACTCTATATTATTTAGACTTTCTTAACAATTTTTGAATAGGTATTAAACGAATGGTGAGATTAAAAAACTTAATTTTATTGTTAGAAAACAATTAAATTGTTTTTAGTTATTTTTATTTTGGCTCGATCTAGCATATATGCTAGATAAGAAAATTTGCGGTAGGTATATAAATTCAATTAAATTCAAAACTTTATATTAAATACCTACCTATAGGTATACTAATGTTAAAAAACTGTTTTTCAGAACACTATTTTACTTTGGAAAAAATCATATTTATTTATTTGACAATATTTATTATATGAGACGTATGTATACTTTTTGCTTTTTAACAGTAAAGGACAAAAATATTATGGCTGTAATTAAAACTAAATGTGGTAATATTCAAATTGTATTACAATAATTGTAATTGCAATACCACATTTATTTTTAATTATCATTACAATGTTTTTTGTGAGTTTTGCATGTATGAGGCGTATACGCCTCATCTATGGATATATATATACAAGGGGATGACGTTTTTTGTGATAATTTATTAGGAGTATTCTACGGACTGTAAGTCTAGGTACCTATCTATAGATATTACGCTTTGTTAATTTTGTAATATATAGGTACCTACTAACATTTAATAACGTGGGGGTGGGAAAAATAGTGGTTTAAATAACTGTATAGGTACTATTTATATAGAATTATTATAATTATAGATAAATTTATATAACAATACAGTTATTTAAACCACAATTACCGGTTACAACTTATTAAATTTTAGTATTGTAAATTCCCTGCTGAAAAAGCCGGGTGATTGCAGGCATGTGCGGGTGAAAAACCAAGCTGGTTTTACGCCCGGTTATATATGTTTTTTGCCTGCCATACCAGATTTTGCCCGCACGCCTGCTTTCACCTGCGCTGCCGGGTGTAAATATCACCCGCAAACGCCCGGCATTGACGTTAATTATATATAAGATTATGTTTTCGCCTGATTTCACCCGCGTTTGCCTGCATTTTGATTTTCTGTTTTTGTCTGCATTCGCCCG